CTTAAGCCCAAGAGGTTAAGGTTACTATGAGCTATGACACCACAGCATTCTACCAAGGGTGACATAGTGAGGCTGTCTCAAGGAAAAAAAAATCCATAAAGCCTTTTTAAAATCTCAAAACATTTTTATACTCTTACATATTTAACTTAGGAAGTACATTTATTCATACTTCTACTTCTCCATCAGAATTGAAATTTTCAAAGACTAGGGTTTTGCCTTTTCCCACTTCCTGTAACTTTTGTGCTATAATCCGACAATAAGAAGCTAATAACTGTTGTTCTTTTCCTGAAATTATGACCCCAAGTCATGAGATAGTAGCACATAGGCTTCCTATTAGGGAGAGTGATTTAGGAACTGTCATCCAGAAGATTTCAGGGATTGTTCTTACAAACAGCTTGCCTAGATAATCTTTAGCTGTCAGAAATACCTCTCCTGGATGGCAGTTTATTATTCTAATCATATGCTTAACACTAGGCATTTATCATCCTTTTAAATATTAAACTAATCTTGGAGTAGTGTATCTGGAAGAACCTTGAAAATTTTAAGCAAACTTAAAACAAAGGCCAAAACAGACTTTTGTCAGAAAAACTGGAACTAGGTGCTAGAAAATACAGTGTGTCATCATTTTAACTGACATGTCTTTTGCATATATAACACAAGAATGCGTAGAAAATTCTAAAATAGGAAGTGGGAAGATTTTTTTTTTCTTACACAAAAGAATTCATACCCAGTGATTCAGAAAAAAATTGATAGCTCATTATGTTAGAACCTTCTGAGATATTCCAAGGAAAAGCAATTCAAATATCTATAGGTTGTCAGTATTCATAATAAATAAAAATAGAAGTGATGAATTACTGTTTAGGAACCATTTTTTCATACAAGTATTTGGGGGGAGGATTTACAAATTATATTGCATCATTCCATCAATACAACTCCAAGTACTAGAGAATTCAGTTCAGCAAATGCTTGAGAGTCATATGTTCATACTTGGGATACATCAAAACAAAAGATCATTTTGGCTCGGCGCCTATAGCTCAACCGGCTAAGGCGCCAGCCACGTACACCTAAGGTGGCGGGTTCGAATCCCCAGCCCGGACCCGCCAAACAACGATGGCTGCAACCAAAAAATAGCCGGGCGTTGTGGCGGGCGCCTGTGGTCCCAGCTACTTGGGAGGCGGAGGCAGGAGACTCGCTTGAGCCCAGGAGTCGGAGGTTGCTGTGAGCTGTAATGCCACGGCACTCTGCCCAGGGGGACAGCTTGAGGCTCCGTCTCAAAAAAAAAAAAAAAATAAATAAAAAATAAATAAACAAAAGATCATTTTCCCTTTGGAGCTTATGTTCTAATACAGGAATCAGCAAACCTTTTCTGTACCGAATCAGATAGTAAATATTTTAGACTTTACAGGTCACCGTGTTCCAATAAAACTTCATTTACGAAAATAAGCATCTGGCCAAATTTGGCCTACAGCCAGTTTTCCAACCCACATTCTAGTAAGTGGAAATGTAATTGAAAGTAAATTAGAGTATGTTAGGTGATAAGTGCTTTAAGAAAAAGAAAAATAGGGCAAAGTAATTAAATAGAGAGTTTGGTAGAGGTAAGCGTTGTCAAGGTGGACCTCATTGAGGTCAAGAAGAGGAAGAAAGGAGACTGAAAAATGAGTGGTAAGATAGAAAACCAAGAGATGTTCTGGACATGTAATGAAGAACTGTATTGGGAAGAAAATGGGCTCATCTGTGTCAGATGTTGCTGATAGGCCAAATAAAATGAAGACTAAGATTAGACCATTGGACTTAGTTACATGGAGGTTGTTAGTGACATTGGTAAGCAGTTTTGGTGGAGTGAGTTCAAGAGAGAATTAATGGAAAGAATAATATTATTCATAATATAATTAATAATAATAATAAAGAATAAGAGAATTAATTAAAGAATTCCTTTCCCCAATTCTCCTGAGGAATTTTGTTGCAAAGAGAACAAAAAAATGAAGTAGCACAGTGGCTCATGCTTCGTGCCTGTAATCTTAGCACTTTGGTAGCCAAGGCCAGAGGATTACTTTTAGCCTAAGAGTTTGAGACCAACCCGGGCAACATAGCAAGACTTTGTCTCCACAATAAAAAATTTTTAATTAGCCAGACATGAGAATGTACCTGTCATTCCCAACTACTTGAAAGACTGAGGCAGGGTGATCACTTGAGTTCAAGGTTAGAGTGAGCTATCATTGTTCACTATACTCCAACCTGGGTGACAGAGACCTTCAGTCTAAATAAATAGGAAGGGCTTGGTGCCTATGGCTCAAGCGGCTATGGCGCCAGCCCCATACACCTAAGGTGGCGGGTTTGAATCCAGCCCTGGCCCGCCAAACAACAATGACGGCTGCAACCAGAAAAAAGCCAGGCATTGTGGAGGGCACCTGTCGTCCCAGCTACTTGGGAGGCTGAGGCAGGAGACTCGCTTGAGCCCAGGAGTTGGAGGTTGCTGTGAGCTGTGATGGCACAGCACTCTACCCAGGGGGGACAGCTTGAGGCTCTGTCTCAAAAAATAAATAAATAAATAAATAGGAAGGATCAGGAAAAGAGTTTAAGAGATGAGAAATAATAATCATGTTTATTGGATGGAAGTAGAGAGTAGAAAAAAAATGCTATGCAGGAAAATGGGAGAGAATAAGTTAGAGTTATGGCCTTGAATTCGTGAGGAGATAGGATCTAGTGTACAAGAGATTGCCTTTAGATAGGTGGACTATTGGTAGAGAGGTACATCTGCTGAAGAGAGTCTATAGATATTCTCTTATGGCTTCAATTTTCTGGTTAAAGAATCACTGGTAGAGAATATCAAAGTTGAAGCACTGAGGTTTTATATATGCATGTGGTCTTTAACTTCTAGTACCAACATTTGAGAGATCTTCAGTGACTCACTAAGATAATTTTTTTGTGCCTTCTAAGGGATTTATAAACTTAATCCAGCAAATTTATGTGTTTTGAGAATAAAACCCTATATTCTGAGATTAAATAATCATGCAGTGCCTGTGGTTACAATGCTTGTTATCGTGCAGACACTCAAGAAATGCTAAATATTATTTGAGGATATAGAATCAGTGTGTACTAAATTAGGTTTATTTTATCTCTTTGACCCCAAAAGATATCTTATCATGGTTTTGTTTTGTTTTTGTTTTGAGATAGAGTCTCACTCAGTCACCCTGGGGTTGACTGCTATGGCATCCTAGCTCACAGCAACCTCAAACTCTTGGGCTCAGTCAATCCTCTTGCCTCAGCCTCCACCTCCCGAGTAGCTGGGACTATAGGCCACAACACACAGATATTTTAAGAGATGAGGTCTCGCTCTTGCTCAGGCTAGTCACAAACTCTTGAGCTCAATTGCCTGCCTTGGCCTCCTAGAGTGCTGGAATTATAGGCATGAGCCACCATACCTGGACTCTTACCATGATATTTAAGTTAGAGTTTGACAATAATAAGTAAATAGGCTACAATTAAATCTCAAGTCCTTTGATATCTCTCCTGATGTTCCTTCTACTTTACAATGTGTCTTTCTCTATACAGTGACTGACTGCGGATATGGGCTCCAGGGATCAGTAGGGCATCTTGATCAGGGGCTCCCTAGATGGATGCTTAATTCTTTTATGCTTAATTATTTTATCAGATTGCTGTGTTAATTACTTTGTACAATAAAAAAAGGTTTTGTGTCCAGCATCCTCCTTTACATGTAAGCCCTCAGAAAGTAGGTAATAACTCTTACACATTTCTAAGAAAATACCTCAAGTAATAGTTTGTGTGTGAAGACCATTCAACAAATATGATGATTACTAAATCAGGAGGCTTCGTATTCCTTTGGTTAAACTTAGATGTTCAGTTCTTCAGTCTTGCTTTAAATCAGGCATGAGACCCTTCTCTTCTGGAAAATTCTGGAGCTAAATTATATTGGACTTGCAGTTAATATAATAGAATACCTCCAAATATAGCTATTCCAAATAACTTCCAGAAGGAAGTAGTAGCCAGATTTTGTAGTAATAATACAAGCATATTTGGCACATAATGTAAGATAAATTGACTTGTTACAATTATAAGAAAATGACCTTGGTTACCTTACAGGGTGTACCAAGGTGCACAATGAGTGAAGTCAGAGAACTTACATTCTTACGAAGTATTAAACAATCTAATGTTGCCAGGAACTATTTGGAAGAGGAAGTTGAAATGGTCGTTTCACTCTGCCGTAGCCATTGTGATTAAGAGATGGAAGTGAGAATACTATTTCCTTTATTAGAAGCACCTGTATGTGAGACTCTAATTTTAGGTTCAGTAGTAAATATAAAATCTTAAGGAGGCTGTTTCGTAGATTTTAGGAAGTAATATTTAGCTATTCATGCAAATGACTGAAAAATTCTACAAATATGTGTTCCCATCAAATTTTTAACAATTACAGTAGAACCTTTCTGAGTTGACTGCCGAAGGGACTGGTTTGTTTTACAGAGTATACTCAGTCACCCTGGGTAGAGTGCTGTGGTATCATTGTAGCTCATAGCAACCTCAAACTCTTAGACTCAAGAGTGACTGGGACTATAGGCGTCCATGACAATGCCTGCTAGTTTTTTTATTTTTACTAGAGATGGGGTCTGGCTCTTGTTCAGGCTAATCTCGAACTCCTGAGCTCAGGCAATCCACCCACCTTGGCCTCCAAGGGTGCTAGGATTACAGGTGTGAGCCACCACAGTCAGACCACCCAAGGAATTGTTAACAAATGGGTCAACATACAGAGGTGGTCAACATAAAGAACTAGGCCTACTGTACTGCTACATACATATGTTGCATGTTCAGTCTATGAAAATTAGGTCACCTCAAGGAGGTGGTCAACTATGGAGGTTCTACTGTGTTTCTACAGCATCAGAACATCCAACCTCATAAAAGTATTTTAGATGTATAGATAATACTGGACAAGTCATTTTAAAAATCCACTTTGTGTTGAACTTTCTCTTGTTTTCTTTGTGTTATAGGTCCGGTTGTTTATGTCTTGGATCTTGCAGATAGACTGATCTCAAAAGCTTGTCCATTTGCTGCAGCGGGAATAATGGTTGGCTCAATCTATTGGACGGCTGTGACTTATGGAGCAGTGACAGTGATGCAGGTTATTCACTATTTACTTTTGGTGTGAAGATTTATTAAATAAATTTTTGAAAGGAGTTTTAAGATTTATTATTTTAGGCTTGGTGCCTGTGGCTCAAGCAGCTAAGGCGCCAGCCGCATATACCTGAGCTGGCAGGTTCGAATCCAGCCCAGGCCTGCCATACAACAATGATGGCTGCAACCAAAAAATAGCCAGGCATTGTGGTGGGCACCTGTGGTCCCAGCTACTTGGGAGGCAGAGGTAGGAGACTCGCTTGAGCCCAGGAGTTGGTTGCTGTGAGCTGTGATGCCATGGTACTCTACCCAGGGCGACAACTTGAGGCTCTGTCTCAAAAAAAAAAAAAAAAAAGATTTATTAATTTAAATTAGAAACCACTTTCTCATGGCTTAAAAATGAAAATATATAAAAAGTTATCTGCTAAAAATTTTCCCTCCTCCTCTCCATTTCTCCAAGTTAGCCACTATTGTTAGTCTTATATAGCATATTCTTTGAAATTTGATTTTTATATATGCTAGAAAAAATATGTTCTCTCCCACTCAGTGGTTTTTTTTTTTTTTTTATCTACCCAAAAAGAAGCATATCGTAGCTTCATTTCTCTACACTATGAAGTAGTGACTCTTAGAGAGTGTTTCATATAAGTATACAGAAATCTGCATGGCATTCTATGTATAGAATTATAGCAGTTTACTAACAAGTCTTTGGGTAGTTGAATAGTCAGTGCTACAATCAGTAAATGTTGATGAAGATTAGAGAGACGTAAGTTCAAGATTTATTCCCAAGCTCTTGACCTTTCTTCTTTCATACCCTCTTACTTGAAGATTTCCAGCTATCATCTCTGTTCTTTTTATTTTCAGACCCTATCTTTCATGCTATTTTCTCAAATCCATTCGTATAATTAATTGCAGCTTGACCCTTCTCCTTGAAAGAATGACCTCTTTTCACTCAACGTTATTGAAATCAAACTTGTCTTTTCCTTATATTTGAAACCTAAGTTTATTCTCCATCGTAATGTCTCTGTCTTTGATTCCTGCTGTTTTTTCATCTACTTAGTTAATATCCTGAGAATTGCATTGTACTCTTTCTATTTTATGGCCCTATGTCTAGTCAGTTCACTGACCAAGCCCAGGCAATTTTTCCATTTTGGTATCTCTTGCATCTGTGGCTTCCTTTACATAATCTTCACTACCTGACTTGTCACTTATTTGTCATACCTGTATGGCTAAAGGAGCATATTGATTGGTTTCTCTGACTATTCTCTTCTTTCAATCTGTCCTTTCAAACGAATCTTCCTAAAATAATATCTTCAATGTCCTTTCCCAAGCTTAAGTCTCCACTGTCAAGAACAGCATCTGGATTGGTTAAGTGTTTTCTAAATAACTCAGTAGTAGTTAACACACTCAGATTTTTAGATGATATAATTTACTTTTTTCTTGGTTTTTTTTTTTTTTT